GGGAAAACAGCCTGGTTTGGGCTTTTAGCTCCAGAACTGTGCAATATTTTCCTGTTTTATATCTAAATTATAAATTTAATTGTAATTTGGGGGGAAAATTGGACGTAATAGATGATGAAATAGTTTTGCTGAATTCTTGATCCGTTTTGTTTTTGCTGAAAAAAAAAACTAAAAGGTGTGGCATGAATCTGACTCAATGCCCCTTGGAGAGAGAATTGAGCAACTGCTTACATACCAAGACATGACTCTGCAGCTAAAGTAACAGGCTGGACAGGGAGAACATTAATTAGGAGGAGGCCTCTGGTAACTCTGGGGGAGCTGCATAAATCTAAAGCTCAGCTGGCAGAGTCTATCGACAGGAAAACTATTAAAGATGCAATTCTTAAATTGGGTTTTTGTCTCAGTGATGCAGTGAGCAGCACTGCTGCCTTGCAACAAGAAGGTTCTGGGTTTGATTCCCAGCCCGGGGTCTTTCCGCATGGAGTTTGCATGCTCTCCCTGCACATGCTAGGGTTCTCTAGCGTCCCTCGTGACCCCAGCAGGGATACGCGTGATGTAAAATGGATGGATGGATGTTTACCATACGCATTTTAAGGGATACAACATGGTGAGCACCATGAGCACTAAACTTATTTAACTAAAGGTGTTAAGAAGGTTCAAATTACTGCAACCTTTTTTTACAATTATTTTATTTTTTTTTTTTTGCAAGATACAGGGTGGCTACAGATTTTACATAAAATCACAAACCCAGAGGGGGAGTTTGGAATCTCACAGCATCGTCCTACAGCTTGTCCAGCCTGCCTCAGGGTTCCTACAGCATAAGGCAAGTTAAATTCAAGACTTTTTAAGACTTTTTAAGGACCAGCGGGAACCCTGCTGCCTCTTTCCGAAACGCTGAAAAACTTCCTTGACTTTCTGCTCAGCTGAAAATAAAACTGGAGTGCCGGCATTTATCAGGCTCCTTATCTGTCCTTATGCAACAGAGCACCAGCAGGTCATGAGAGGCACCTTGAACTCATATCTTCGATTTGCTGAGATTGCGTCATGTGTCCCTTATGGCCTGTTTGGTCCCTGGCAAGGGAACAGGTGATCTGGAGCTGCTGTGACAGCTGTGTTTACACAGCGTCCCGACAGACACAGTTTGAGAAACATCTATATGGATGATACTTTTTTTGCTTATCTTTTTCCCCATTTGTTCTATTTGCACACTTGCGGCTATTCGCGCATTGGTTAAAACCTGACAGGCTTTTCTTTAACTACTTTTAAATGATCCAGTTTGGATCAATGACTCGTCTGATCCTGCAGCATCAGCAGGAAAAGAGGAGTAGAAAACATGAGGACAGGGTGTGTTTGAGCTGTTGGGACACAGAGGCATGAAAAAAAAAAGCTTACACACAACTGAGGCCCAATAGGGGAGGGGGGGCACAAGAAGTTAGAGTAAATATCTAGTGTGACACAAGCCTGATAAGAGCTGTGGAGGAAAGGATGAAGCCCCATATTGCTGCTCAGTTGCAGAACGCCAAAATATAATGTCTGATTAAATACCTTTAAATCAGAACATTTTGGTTTAACAGGAAATAAAACGATTTGATTGGTCCCCAATTACCCAAATAAATGCAACGTTTGTAAAGTAAACATTAGATTTAATCATTTCTGCATTCACCTGAAACTAAAGAAATCTATTAATGTAAAGCGATCTAAATATGTCAAAAATAACAAACATGGTTTTTGTTATTTTGCATTATTTAAAAATGTGTTTTCTGCAAAAAAAACTATTAAAAAGAATAAATGTAACATTTTACATCTGTATGTAAAACACTGTACTTCTTAATATGATTAAAGTAAAACAGAAAACAGCTTTAAGATTTAATATATTACTTTAAATGGGGTATATTATTTAACTAAGTATTAAAGATTATTTTATAACTCTCTATAATTATTGAAATGTATTAATTTTCTGAATTTAAAAAGGTTATTTAGATGAGTCAAATATTTCCATTTGAACTAGTAGCCATAACACTTTTTAAGCAAAAATATTATTTATTTTTCATGGTTCTTTGGCTGCTGTGAACTATTCCCACTGACAAAATAAATGGAAAAACGTCCAATTTTTTAATCAGCACACTGAGTGAACTTTAAATCAGTGGGCTTGACAACAGCAGTGTTAGCCCCGCCCACTGATTGATGAATAAGGGTCACCATTAGTTAGCCAAATTATCTCTTTATTACGTTTATAAATGATGTATCTCCCTGAAACAATAAAAAACAAACTACGTCAAACATCAATGTCACATTTATTCTGCTTTTAATTAATAATTAACATATGTTAGTTATTATTTACTTTCAACAGGTATAAACTTTTAGATGACCGATGAATGAACTTCCAAAACGACCTTATTCTGTGGAGTTCCTCAAGGTTGGTTGCTTGGTACACTTATATTTTTATTTTATACATTTACTTTTTTTGGAATAGCAATTCCATGACAAGAATACTCTGTTCTCTGCGTTTTCTAAAACCATGTCAGCATGATACCTTTATCTTCTGTGATCTCCTACCTCACTGTTGATAAATACCTTTATCTGAATTCTATTTTGAAACCAAAATAGAAACAAAGATTAGAGCCCCGCCTGAAATATGTTCACAAATTAGCAAGAAATTGGCTTTTTGTGTATATTTACCAAGACCACAGCTCTTAATTTTAGAATAATTTTCATCCCCACTCTCCAATTATTTGCATAATGTGTTTATAATAAAAAAGATAAAGGTTCATCTATCAGGTCAAACACCTGCTATGAATTTAGACTAACGGCAACACTTGATTGTACTACGTGTACTAATGCATGTTCTTGTTTTCACAGGGCATAAAATTGTCTTCAACAGCTTCACTATCTTTTTTTTATGGATTACAGGACCTCATCATGCACAGAGCTTTATGACCGCATTGTTGCTCAAAATATTTGCAGTCCAACATCAAGAAACTCTATTTCTACTTAAAGAAACATTATGTGAGTTTTTACTGATAAACATATTTTTTTATTTTGACTCTTCATGACTAAAACATGGTTTGATAAGCAGGCTGACAGCTCGGTAGTTCAGCACCGATGCATCTATAAGGCTGTAGCCTATTTTCCTTTACTTCGGGTCAGAATTTCGCCCGGTTCTACAGATGTGTCGTGAAGGGCGTCCATGTTAAATGTGTCCAATATAGCAAACAGTCAAGATTTATTTTGTGGATAGTCCGACACCGATGACAACTCAACATAAGGTAAAAAATAAATGAAACCTTGTCAAATACGAGCGCAGGCTAAGATAACGTTCAGAAGAGTTCTGCAGTTCTGTGTTAGTATCATTAGAAAACTAACTAATGCCTCTTTGATTCATTTAAAATGGAAACAGAAACCAGAAGGATCTGGATTAAATAAAACACTACTACTTTAATGATCACCTCCAAGGTGATTTAAGGAGAATGACTAGAACATGCCTTTCTAAAAACACAACAAAGTGCTGTTCATAAATTAAATTAAATCAGAAAATTAGAGAAATTACATAATAAAGGCCTAAAATGAAATGGAACATGTCATAAACAAATAAAACCAACATTATTAATTTAGAGTCTAGAAAGATTACAATCCAAACCACCCAACCCTGAACCTATCCCTTGTCTACCATGCCACATGGAGGCTCAGGCATCGTGATATGTGGATGTATTTTACTACACCGTTCAACTTTATGTGGGATTATGGATTAATTTAAATACACTGAAACACTTACAGTGGTGATATGCTGACTTATGCTAAACAAGGGACAGATGTTCTAACAAGATCACCAGCCCAAACACACACAACAGCTGGACATCATCTTACTTTCAGAACCAACAGGAGTATCCAGCCTTAACTTGATAGAAAACCTTTGGTGTGACATCAAACACTTCTTAGGGCAAAACCAAATAATTCTAAGGGAGTATTTAATGTATTCCTAGGCTGAAACAGTGTTTTGCAGTGTTAAAGTAACACTTTGAGAGTTAAATGTAACATCAATCCCAGTGCATTTGGTCCAACTCTGAATTAGTGTTGAATTAACTCTCTATGTAGTGTATATCTTAATCCAGTCGTTTTTGTAATACTCTAAAAGAGTCAATGAACATTACATATTTATCCATCCATCCATTTTCTATCACGCTTATCCCAAGTGGGGTCGCGAGGGGTCCTGGACAGGTCGCCAGTCTACACACAGACAAACAACCATTCACACACACCCAAGGAGAATTTAGAGAAACAACTTAACCTAACAGTCATGTTTTTGGACTGTGGGAGGAAGCAGGAGTACCCTGAGAGAGCTGACGCAGCACAGGGAGAACATGCAAACCCCATGCAGAAAGTGAATCGAACCCGGATCTTCTTGCTGCATTTAACACTGTGGAATTGACTGTGTAATGCAAAGTTGTTATAATAAACTAAATATTAGGGATTCACAATTGAATGTTAAAGCATTATAATAGTTTTGCTGTTTTGGCAATCACAATAATCACTCCTATCTTTCTGTAGAGTGATAACAAGTTCTTTATGCTTTTGATTTGTGTTATTGTCCCCAGTTTATTTGCAAGCATGGCAGTAAAAGCTACTTTAAAGACCTTGAGCTATAGTCACTCCTCTTAAACACAGCTAATTTTCAGATCCTGTCTGTGAAAGTCGCTTTAGAAATGAATGAGTCATTCATTCCTTTATGGTTTGTGTGCATTGCGGCCCCATTGGATTCCCATACTTAGAGGCATGTGTTCAGGCAACTCTTTAAACTGTGTTTGGTTTGTAAAAGCGCGCATAACAATGTTTGAAAGCCTCTTTTTAAATGCATGAGTGTGGGAATCCACGCAGACTAGATTGTAATGTTTTGTTTTATTTAACTAATCTCCTCCTGTTGACCCAAAGCACTAATGAAACATGTCCCTGCAGAGCGCCTCTGCAGCCACTGCCACGTTTCTCCCCCATGCAGCCTGCTTTACCTTTGCACTGCAGCTCCACCATGGCCTGGAACCACTCCTCTTGGTCCTCCTGGTTCTCCGCGGCCACGGCGAAGCTCTCCGCCCGGGTGTAGAGCACGATCATGTGCTTGTTTTTGGAGTCGGCCCGCTTGTTGATGTTGAAGCACGTCTCCAGCGCCACCGCCTTCTTCGGGACGGGGGCCTTGCCGCGGAACTTCTTCTCGCTCTCATAGTACTCCAGGCGGGCCGGTCCGCGCTCCGAGGCGGCGCGCAGCACGAAGTAGCGCCGGTGCATGGACTTCTGCTTTCGGAGGTAGCCGCTCTTGCGCACGTCCTCGTTGCCGTGCAGCTCTCCGGCTGGGCCCTCCATTAGTTGGGTTCTCAGCAATACAGATAAAAAAAGGAACCAGATGATCAATGTAGTTGGGTTTGTTTTTCCTCCCTGCAACTTTTAGCAGGAGGATTCAAACATGCTCCCAGGTCCGCTGCGCTCCTCTCATCCACATCAACCAGGCATGTGCGCCAAAGGAGAGCTGGAGGTCGATCCGGACGCTGCTGCAAGTCTGGACCCGGCTCTGGTTTTTTTTTTCTTTTCTTGGAAGGGGGAGCTTGTTTTCTCTCCAGCAGAGCAAGTTTTCCACATGCGGCGAAGCTTTTTACGCGGGGATCCCCCCCCCAGCTACCGACCCCTCCTCTCTCTGTCCTCCCCTCTACTACTACTAGCGTTGTTTCCCAGAGCTGTCTGGGCGGGTTAATCCCATTTACTGCACATCACAGAGTCCAGCGACCATGCGTCTGCCTGTCCCCCCACCCCTGCCCTGCTCTGGTCAGCTCTGATGCTGCTACAGCGCAGAGCGGAGAGGAGAGGAGCTGCTACCGTGGAGCGACACAGTCGCTCACTTTGGGAGCAGCCCGATGCCGAGCCGATTCAATGTGCCGGTTCAATGAAATGAACTTCTACTTACTCTACACTCACTGTTCACCCAGGTTTTAAGATTTATATCACTTTATGATAGAAAAAAATAATCCAATGCTCTTATTTTAGAGATAATATTAACAAAGACATAATAAATAAACCTGATATGGTGCTCATTTTTTATCTGTTTTCAAATATATTTCTTGATCTGACATTTACATGTTTCTTTTTTAGAAAAAGTCTGACACATAAACAAAAGAAAGGCATAGTGACATCTATAATGAAAAATAAGGATGGTAAAGACATAATAAACAATAAAATTATTTATTTATTATTAATAAAGCATGCTTGCTCAAAATGAATACTATTTAGTGTATTTATTTTAAATATATAAAGTTTTTTTTTTTTAATTGACTATCGGGGCCGTAATCAGGATTTCTGAAATACAGATGTCAAATATTGCGATAAATCTTGCTTGACAAAATAACATCCTAATGTGGTGACTTTATAAAAAATATTTTGGAATTATGAATAAAGAGTTAAATAACAAGCCTGTCAAGGAGGTGAATATGAACATGTTTAGTATAACAATTCCAAAACTCACAAAATTAGAATATTTAAGTGAGTGAGTGAGTGTTATTATTATTATCATCATTATATTATATTATTATTGTTGTTATTAATATTGAATGATTATTACTACTGTTATTATTGTCACCCTCATCAATGTGCATGGCCCACTAAATGAATCAAATTACTTTCTATATTATATCACATTGTGGACTTTTTTTTTTTTCAACAAATGAGAATAAACGCTGATCTTTACACCAGTCAAAGTCAGAACAATTTTCATCATATAGTATGACATTTCTCTGAATTAATAAAAATGAAAATAAAAAATAAAAAAACAAGAAAATATGGAGGACATGACCTCATTGGTTGTTACAGGGCTGCTGACTATTATGCAATTCATAGGAGAAACTTCATGCACTTGAAATAAATAAACTCATTAGTAATAATTTTGAGTAAGTATACTTTATTAATACATCCGACATTTATGTATATCATTACTTTATTATCTATAATAAACTAATTAATATGCACCATGTAAGGATTATTTAATAGCTTTGTGTTATAATCATAAAAGAGTAAATGGGAATATGCCACGTAATAAAAACACATAAATAATAAAATTGATAAGAAAAACTTTTAAATAAAATATCCAGAAGTCAAGGAATAACTGCAGTGGTGAGAGACTTCATTAGTTGTGGACCACCTATTGACAAATTAAAGAAACAATAAAGCTAAAGGTGCTTCATTAATGGAGCAGATGGAGAGATTGTGGAAGAAACTTATGTTTAATCAGTCTTCCTAATTAATTTTTCAAATTTGATGACTTGTTCAGGTCCCCATAGACTACAGCGGTTACATCCCTTATGGTAAGTCACTCCTGAACCGCTTGTATGTTATTTGGTCAAAGTAGAAAAAGTAGTCTGACAACTCTGCATTTAAGATTTGGAAATCAACATCTCAGAGTTTGGACCTAAGAGCAGAGAGGCACAGAATCCAAGCTGCTTCAGTTTTGAAGGTAAATACATACAGTTTTTAATTAGATACCCTGCAAGTTTGCAAGAAACTTCTGACTTTAGGTGGCATTGCTGATTTTGTTAAACAACATATTGTATATTTTGCTTGGAAAAGTTTTACAACAGAATATGACATTACCTCCTTGTAAATGTTCAATTAAATGACCATAGACTAAGTATATCTATTAGCAAGAGGTCGTATTGGACCCTGTTTTGTTTTATCAGCCCTTGGTTGTTTAAAAAAATGGAAGAGCCGATTTAAGCCGACTTGTGTGGATCTCGAAAAGTAGCCGGAATTCCCTCCACTAATCTCATGTCTGTAGTACTCTAGAATATGGTGCGTTCAGGGACTACACCGCGGTACTGACAACTCATCGTCCAATTACACCGTATTGTAATGTCAATGGTACGGAAGAGCCATAAATAAATAAATTAAAATAAATACCAGAGACATAGACATTAACAAAAAATAAATAAAAAAATTAAATTAAACTCAGTAAAAAAAAGGGGCATTAAAAAAAATCTAAGAAAAAAAACCTGAATTGTGAGCTTAAGGTAAGTATTCTGACTTAAAAGGCGGTATTCCGTGAAGAAAGTCAGAATTCGGATAATAAAGTTAGAATTTGGTGATTAAATTCAGAATTTGCCAGAATTCTGAATTTAATAAACAAAATAAACAGAATAAACTAAAATAGGGAAACATTAACAGATATGAAAGAAATCTTCCTTTCTTATCGAAAATTCTTGATAAAATAGTTGTCAAACAAGTGTGTGACCACCTACACCATAATGAACTTTTTGGTTTTATAGCTCATCATAGCTATGGAACCGCACTGGTGAGAGTCACTATTGATATTCTCAAGACTTGTATCTGTAATTGTCCTGTTAGATCAGCGCTGCATTTGACACTTTTGATCATAATATTCTTTAAGACAGACTTAAATATTTACCACAATCTTCCCATTGTGGGACAATAAAGGGATTTTCACTTTATTTTGTAAGAATATAGACTGAACTAGACTGGTGTCAATCATATCTATCGTGCAGATTTCATTTTGTTAATGTTAAAAATTCATCTTCCTCATGCTCAAGGGTTACCTGTGGAGTACCACAGGGATCTGTGCTAGGACAAATTCTCTTTACTATATTTATGCTCCCAATCAGTAGAATTGTTAGACGGCATGGGATTAATTTCCACTGTTATGCTGATGATACTCAGCTATATCTGTCTATAAAGCCAGATGAAGCTAATCTATTACATAGATTACAGGCATGTCT